TTGACCACCTCTTGTTCTAAGATTTCCTTTATTTATATTTCGCAGTACATATTCTAATGCTAGATTAAATAGCGTCGTTGATAAGGCATCTCCTTGTTTCATCCCTTTATTTATACTGAATTCCTCTGTCTCTCCTCTTTGTGTCTTTATGCTTATTTTTGTAGTTCTCATTGTCATTTCTATTAATTTTCTGAGTTTATGTGGAATTTTTAATTTTTTAAGTGCTGTCATTAATACGTTCCTTTTAATTGAATCAAATGCCTGTTTGAAGTCTATGAATAACATTTCCAATTCTAATTTATACTCGTTTGCTTTTTCCATTATTTGTTTTATTGTGTGTATTGCATCTATTGTAGATCTTCCTTCTGTGAATCCACATTGGTACTGTCCTACTGTCTTCTTTGTGATCTTTGATAACCTCTTTTTTATTATTGATGTCAATATTTTATATGTTGTATTTAGTAATGTTATTCCTCTATAATTTTCACAGATTTGTTGGTCTCCCTTTTTATGTACTGTTATGATCTGTCCTACCTCCCAGTCACCTGGCATTTTCTCTTCTTTCCATATATTTTTCAATAGTGTCAGTATTTTTCCTCTTAGTTCCCTTCCCCCGTATTTTATTAGTTCCATATTAATTCCATCTTTACCTGGGGCTTTTCCATTTTTGCTTCTCTGTATTACTTCATCCAATTCCTCTAATGTTGGTTCTTTTGAAATTTCGATGTCTACTTCATTTGCTTCTTCTTCGTGTACTGTTTCCTCCTCGTCATGCATTTCTTCTTCTGTTGTTTCCTCCGTCAAGAGCTCTCTGTAGTAATCTCTCCATACTTGCTTGTATTCTTGGTCCTCTATTATTACTATTCCCTCTCTATTTTTTATTCCGTTTGTTTTGCCCTTGTATTTTTTGTTTTGTTCTTTAATCTTTTTGTAAAAACTTTTCGTATTTCTGTTTGTTCTTTCCTGCTCTATTTCCTGCATTTTTTTGTCTACCCATCTTCTTTTATTTTGCCTTATCACCTTCTTAGCATACCTTCTTAATTTTTCATATTCTTCTCTGTCTTCCTCTTTATCTGTTCTTAGCCATTTATTTCTGGCTTGCACTTTTTTTTCTGTTATTTCTCTACATTCTTGGTTATACCATTCGTTTCTTGTTTTAGCCTGACTTTTACCTATCTGCATATTTGCACCTTCTTCTATTGATTTTTTGATCGTCTCCCATTCTGTGCTTATATCTTCTACTTTATATTTCTCTTTTATTTGAACTGTTACTGCCTCTTCATATTTTTTTCTTACTTCTTCATTACTCAATTTATTGACATTCCACTTTTTATGTTGGTTTTTTTGTTTTGTTTCAATTTTAACTTTTTGTCTTAAAATGGCTGTGACCATGTAGTGGTCTGAATCTGCACACGCACCTCTGAACGTTCTTACATCTTTTATTGACCTTGATGGATAATGCAATGTAATATAACACAGTTAACACCATTTTCCCGCAAAATTCCAGCCAATCCAGTTATGCGTCGCGTCATTGCTTTTGCTCCGTCGGTGCAAACGGAAGAGCACTTTTGAAAACCGCCTATATTTTTCACAGCGTCACTAACTGCTTCAAATATATTTATACCTTTGGTCCCATTTTCCATGTGGTGCAGTTTTAGAAGTTCCTCAGTTACACAAAAATCTTCACTGATGCATCTAACAAAAATTAATAGCTAATTTTTGTCAGTATTATCAACAGATTCGTCCAGGGCTAAGGAGTAGTACAAACAATCACGAACTGTGTCGATCATTTTTTTAAATACATGAGTATTCAGCTCATCAACTCTTCTAGATACATTTTGATGGGAAACTGAAACACATTCAAAATTTTTGGCCATCTTTTCATCTCCAAAGGATCGCGCCTTTTTAACGGCACACCGCTTGATTCTCCATCTCTAAATGCTTTTTTACTTTTGACAAGCTCCAAACATACTTCATATGATACTGCTAAGCTTGATGATTGAACAGCTGTCGGTTTTGTAAATAGAGATTTTTGTTTATTCAATTTAGCTTTGAGTTCTTTGACAAGAGTATTGCGAGCTTCACCTTGATATTTGTCGTATTTTGTTTTGTGCTGGGTTTCATAATGCCTACTAATATTGTATTCTTTTGATATCGCGAGTACTTGACAATAAAAAATGCACTGAGGTTTTTAATTCGATGAAGAAGTATTGATTTTCCCATTTTCCTTGGAACGTACGCATGATGGTATGAACTAAAGATAAACCCACGTGTACGCGATCAGTATATCTCTTTTGCACGTGTGACGTCACTTGGCGACAAATATCACCAGAAATGTTCTGTTTTGCATGAAGTTTTGTCAGATTTAGTATTGTTTTATCGTTTACCTAGTACGTTGACAAATAAATGTGTGGACTTTATATAAAATATATTTCAGAATATTAAATTAAAGATAAACTTTTATCGCCAAGTGACGTCATGCGCATCGACGTACAAAATTCGATTGCCAAGTGGTTTTATCTTGGAAGTGATAGTATCATGGAACGTACGATTCTCTTAGAAAATGTTGTGTTTTTTGGCACTAATCATTGTGAATTTAACATTCAATTTATTCGCCACTGTTAATTCAGCACGACACGTGCAGCTGACTGAAGCTAACTGCCCGCTCATCGGGAGTGGATGTTTAAGGTTATCTACTTTCTTAAGATTACGGAAAGTTAGACAGGGTTGGAACAGATAAAAGTTATCAACGGCAATATTTTTGAAATGTGTTTGCGGGGGCTGCAGTTTAACGAGCCTTGGGCCGCATGCGGCCCGCGTGCCTGAGGTTGGACCACACTGTTAACTGTAGATGGTTAACTGATATGTTTTACGGGGTAAATTATAGTAATTTACGTAACAAGTTCCGAAAGTGATATTTTACAAGACGAGTAGGAAATTTCCAGGGCAAGTCATGGAATCCTGCGAGTCTCGTAAATTTACTTTTAGATCGTGTTGCGTACAATATTTTTTCTGCAGCCGTTTTGTATGTTAAAAAGAATGTATGGATAAACTGTTCTTATGAACTTTATTAAACACTTTAAAGTTACTCTCGTTAATTCAACATTAGAAAAATTATTTACATTGATATTGTTAGGAATATTAACATAAGTGGCAGTATTGAAATAAGTGTTGGATGTGTCAGTACTTTTACTATTTTTTGAAATAATAGGTTGGTTGCAGTCATTTCCAATCTGTGAAGCTATGTGAATTTTATTTCTTAAAGAGTTTTCTATGTATCGCTTTGCTACATTAGTTGATTTCCATTTTAAGGAAAGCAATAGCTTTTAGATAGCAGCTATATCTATATTGTTTTTAATGTTAAGTGTGGTCCTACAAGATATTAGATTTTTCCATTAGATATGCAAAAATGACTTCTTCATTTATAGTATGTACATTTTTATCATTGCTCCATTTTTGAAATAAATCGTAGACCAATTCATAAGTACCTTTTTCTTGACTTCACTTGCAATAATTCATCAATAGCGGCTTTAGCAGTTTCATAGCATGATGAAGTTGTAAATCACATTGTAGAGCAAACCAATCTGTACGCAACAGCCTCCAATAATCATCATTTTATAATTACAAAAGATGAGATTAAAATTTTTGTTGGAATTCTTTTTTTTACTGGGTACCATAAGTTACCCGTGAAAGGATGTATTGGAATTTGGATGAAGATCTGAATGTTCCATTTATTTCCAATGCAATGAGCAGAAATAGGTATACAAAAATTAAAAAGCATATACATTTGGCAGGCAATACTAAACTCAACAAAATTGATAAAATGTTTAAGCTACGACCGCTTATGGATTTACTGAATGCTAAGTTTCAACAATGGGGCATTTTTCATGAAAATTTATCAATCGATGAGGCAGTGGTCAAATATTTTGGCCACCATTCGGCGAAGCAATTCCTAAAATCGAAAGCCCTTATATTTTGGCTACAAGGATTTAATGTTATGCAGTTCTACTGGCTACTGTTATGCTTTTGATACGTACTGCGGAGCTAAGCCTTCAGCTAACGAAGAACAGATGAAACCGAAAAAGTCTAAACTGCCACTAGGATCACAAGTTGTTTTAGACCTCCTGGGTATTATTACAGTTCCAACTGATCACATATTTTTCAATAACGATTTTGTGAGTTGGGAACTTTTAGTGACATTGAAACAAAAAAGTATCAGAGCTACGGGCACAGTTCATGATAATGGTATCAAAAAATGTCCAAAGAAAGTGCTATATTATTAATTGTAAGATGGAACAACAACAGTGTTGTAACCATGGGTACCATTTACGATACCATAGAGCCCCTTGTACAAGTGAAGCGTTGGTGTGCAAAACAAAAAGAAAAAGTAGCAGTGTCACAACCTCAGTTATTCAAATCCTACAATTTATCAATGGGGGTGGGGGGGGGGTGACAGTTGTCAATGCGTGGAAACTATATAGGATTACAAATGAAAATGACAAAATAGATTTGCTACTATTTCAAAGAAATATTGTCCGCCATTATTGCAGAGCTTTCAACAAAGCCATACAAAGACGATCCACATCTATCAAACCGTCTTGTTCGCTGCCAAAGAGTATACTGGATACTCCTAATGGCCATTTTCCTAAAAGAACTACGAACCCTCGAAGATGTCGCCAATGCCACATGAGAGTTAGATGGATGTGTGAAAAATGTAATGTAACTCTTTGCACTGAGCAGAGAGAGTTTTTTAAAATATTTCACTCATAATTATGTGTTTTTTATGTATGTAATGTTTCCTTGGTCTGTATGTATTTTTATGTTCATTATTTTTACTGGTTATATATAATTATATTTTTATATTTTATACTGATTGTCCCAGTGTATCTGTTTAGATACACCATTTTTTGTTTTTCAAAAAATGGGTTAATTTTGGGTTAATGATCCAATAATACATTATTATTACGTAATATTGATTTTATATATAAACATAATTTTAGGTTCCCCTTACGAAGATATACAAACTGATGCATATGATGTACTGGAAGAAGAACATGCTATAAGTGACCGAAGTTTAAACCAAACTTTTACTGCCATTACAAACGAAAACATTGAAGGAAAAAAATTACATATGACAGAACAAATAGGCAAAAAAATATTTATATGTAACATTTGCTCTAAACCATTTTCAAGAAATTATTACTTAAAAATTCACATGAGGTTGCATACTGGCGAAAAACCGTATGAATGTGAAATTTGCACCAGACGGTTTACAAGAAGTGTTCAACTAAAAGAACATATGACGTTACATACTGGAGAAAATATTTTCAAATGTGAAATTTGCAATAAACAGTTTCTGCGAAACTCTCAGTTGAAAGAACATAACATATTACACACTGGAGAAAAACCATTTACATGTGAAATTTGCAATAACAAGTTTTCACGAAGTTCTAGTTTAAAACAACATATGAGATTACATAATGGAGAAAATATTTTCACATGTGAAATTTGCGATAAACAGTATCCACGAAAGTCTCAATTAAAAGAACATATGATATTACACAATGGAGGAGAACCATTTACATGTGAAATTTGCAATAACAAGTTTTCACGAAATTCTACTTTAAAACAACATATGAGATTACATACTGGAATATGTAATGTCACATCTGAAAAGATTTTCAGATGTGAAATTTGCGATAAACAGTTTTCACGAAACTCTCAATTAAAAGAACATATGATATTACACACTGGAAAAAAACCATTTACATGTGAAATTTGCAACAAACAGTTTTTACGAAATTATAATTTAAAATTACATATGGGAGTGCACACTGCAGAAAAACCTTTCACATGTGAAATTTGCACTAAACAGTTTCGACAAAAGTATAACTTAAAAGAACATATGAGAATACATACTGGAGAAAAATCATTTAGATGTGAAATTTGCAACAAACAGTTGGCACGAAATGCTAGTTTAAAAGAACATATGAAATTACATACATGTGAAAAGCTACGTATGAAAAAACCCATCGTCCCAAAAATATGCAACGTTTGCTGTAAACAATTTTCAAAAAATTATGAATTAAAAATACATATGAGGGTGCACACTGGCGAAAAACCTTTTGCATGTGAAATATGCAACAAGCACTTTGCACGAAGTTCCAATTTAAAAGAACATATAAGAATACACACCGCTGTGCACTAAACAGTATACAGTGATGAGTGCCTTACCACCCAACTTTTTAACGTAAGAGATAGAAAACACAGTTACCTTGTGAAATAAAAAGAGATGAAACTCGTAGAGGTGGGAAATAATCGATAGAAACCTATAATTTACATTACATTACCACTATCGATAGTCTCACACCTTTAGACCTTAGACGTGGCTATTTGACTTGAAAATATTTTATTTTAATAATTTCTCATGTTAGAATAAATAATTGAATAAATTAAGATATATTATAGTAAAAAACATTAATTAGTAGCGACTTTAAATTATAAATCTTTAAGTTTATTTAATAATAAAAATAACTCAACTGAAATATTTGACTAAAATAAAGGTAGGTATGTTCTGTCCCCAAAACAATTAATGTATGTGGAATTGGTGTAATAGTTAGAGACGTGGTCTATTGACAAGAAGATTGGGGTTCAATTCACACCAAAGATCAAATTTTTGTTTTATCAGTCAAAAAATAATAGAAAATATGATACATATTAGGTAACAAGTTTTCGAAAAACTCATTATTTACAAAATAATTCAATTCCAGTTTTCAGTTGTGAATGCAAAATAATCCGGTGAAGACTGTTTATGTCAAATCCATCACTAAATTCTCAGTGTTAATATCAATTCCTCTGTACAGATAATGATTTTCAAAACTATTGACAATTTTTTATTTTTGTAGAATTTTTACTTATTTAAACGTTCTTTTAATTTTGTAGAATTTTTACTTTATTTTCGAAAGTACGACGACACTTTTTTCAATAAGATATTTATGTTTAACTCTGCATAATTTCAAATTATTAAAAAAAAATTAGAAACAAAAAAGAGAAAACATATGAGGGTTTTGAACTCTAATCGTCTGCATCGCAGTGTATAATTCTTACCACTAATCCACGAACGATTGATAATTATTTCGTGACAAGAGTGTATGAAACTCCTCAAATCATAGTAGAATTTATTCTTGGTTAATAATTTAAAACTTTAGATTAAATAATCACTATTAAGTAATTAAATTATTTTATTCACATTTTTGCTTTATTGTGGTCAATCAGTTTTTACTTTATGCAAAATTAAAAAATGGAAATACGTCACACATACGACGTCAAACATAATAATTATGACCGAAAAACCTCTACGAGTTTCATCTCTTTTTATTTCACAAGGTAACTGTGTTTTCTATCTCTTACGTTAAAAAGCCGGGTGGTAAGACACTCACCACTGTATACACGTCTATCTGAAAGGTAAAAACTAAATGAAACTAGAGATGGTCGTTATTATAATAACGATATTGGCATCTGATACCAGTTGTCGATGCCTGCATCAGATATCTAAATATCGAATAACGGTTATACGATGTGCAGAAATTACTGTTTTTTCTCCCCGTTTCAGTAACGAGTAGAGTTGGTCGGCATACTTTTGCCAGTTTGCCTTTTTGAAGTTAAATCTCTATTGATTAAGGATATGCAACCTTTCAGTATCATGAAAGACAATGGGTTTCGAAATTTATTAAGATGGATTGCAGGATATGATCCACCACCAACAAAAACAATTTTGGCATCTTTGATACCTGCACTGTACCAAAAAACATTAAGTGAATGCAAACAAAAGATGCAAAGTGAAGTGGAATATGTGTGCTTAACAATGGACTGCTGGACATCCAAAGCAAACGAAAGTTTTATTGCCGTTTTTGTGTTCGCATTCATGCTATTAAATTGTAGAGGATTACCAGGAAGTCACACAAGTAAACACCTGGCAGAAGAGCTACGAAATGTGACAAGAGAGTGGCATCTAACAGGTAAACTTAATTTTGCCATATCAGATAATGCAAGTAATATTTGCAATGCCATACAAGTTGGAAACACTATGGATGTTTTGCGCATTCCTTGAATGTCCAGTTAAAAACTCTGTAGACAGTGTCAAGAAGATAGTTGTACATTTTAAGATAAGCTCTGAAGCCCTTCAGAAACTCTTGGACTACCAAATAAAACATATGGAAATTGGCGATCCCAAACGACTAGTACAGGATGTGGTGACACGGTGGAACTTAACTTTTTATATGTTAAAATGGTTTGTTTAATTATATGAAGCCATAAAATCAACAATGGCAATTATTAATAGTGACTGACCTGTCTTTAACAGAAGAAGAGTGGTGTATGTTTCGCCTATTAGTAAACGTATTAGCACCTTTTGAGGAAGTGACCAATTCACTTAGCGGTGAAAAATACATTACTGGTGGACTAGCTATAGTTTTAAAAAACTGTTTGAGTGACGTTTGTGACAATTTTTTGCAACAAGATGAGTATATTCAGTGTAATATAGTTCAAGATATTATTTTGAAACTAAGAGCAGGTCTTGAAAAACGGTTTCAAAATATAGAAAAAAGTGAAACCCTTGACTGTGCACTCTTTCAGACCCTCGATTTAATTTAATTGGTTTTAAAAATGAGGGAGACAAATCTTTTATAAAAAATACTGCCAAGAATTAATTGTAAGTTATATAAACAAAAACAGTGCACTTTCATCTATAACCGCTACAGAAAACTTTGGACCAAAGAATGGAATACCTTAGATCAATTAATATTAGGCTTCAAAACTCCTGGAACTCCACTGTCAAAAGCTATACGGGAATTACAAATGTATTTTGAGGACGAAATGTTACCGCGGCATCAAATACCCCATAAATTCTGGGGAATGGACCGATCCAACGTAATGGTGGAAGTAACATTCCAAGGTTTACCCAGTCCTTTCTCAAATATATGGTGAAAAGTGTAATATAGTTATTACGTCGGTACCATGCGAACGAATATTTTCAAAAAATGGGTATATAATAAATGAACGCTCAATAAAACTCTCTTGTATAAAAGTGTCGATATATATCAAAAACACCCAAGTCACGAGTAAACATTTTTCAGATAATGATGTTTTTTTGTAGTGTGAGGTTTTAGCTAGTATAAAGTTGTGATTTTATTTCGCATTATCAATATTATGCCTGGGAACACAGACAAGTCAAAAATCAAATTAAATTCACAATGTAGATACACTTTTTCATTAATTTTACTAGGACTTAGGCATATTTGATATAATGGTTATGGATTTGGGCAATATTGAAAAATAGATAATTGGACTTGGGAGAGTTTGAAATATTGCAATAGGACTTAGGTAAGTTTGATATGACTTACTTACTGAGGTACGGACTCAGGAAATTTGAAAGTCAATTTTATTATAAAAATATGTTTTCCATAAAATATGAGCTAACATGTTTATTGTCTTTTGGTTTTTTAGATTATTAGATATATGAGATTAAAACGAATGAGATTACTAAAAAATTTTAATATATAGATATTAACCATAAAAATATTGAAATCTAAGCAAGAACAAAGAACTATACAAAATCAAGTATTTCCTTAGGTACGGAATCATTTTCTTCACCACCTACATTTTCATCATCATGTCCGGGTAGAGCCAGAACGTTTCTAAAATAATTTAGCTCCGGGATTTCCGGCCACTGATCTCCAAAGTGTTTTTTCAACAGTTTATTAACATCATCAAGCTTCTCTTGTTTAATGGTGACACTTTGAGTTATTCTGTTAGGTAATATGTGAGAAATCTTTTTACCTCGTTTTGTTATTGGTAAGAGTTGACTTATGTCATTTCTGTAAGATAATTCACCCCGTACCATAATTTTTTTAATCACCTTTTCAATAATTATGCGCTTGCATTTACTGATTTGGAAGTGCAGGCTGTGTGTGGGTTTAAGCACATTCTTGCATGCTTCTTTCCAATCAAATACAGGCACTTGATCAACTAAATTGTAGACGATAGCATTAGACGACATTAAATTAATGTAGTCGTTTGGATTTAATATGTTTTCCAGACGCCTTATTTTTTTTTCAGTTATTGCAAACACCCTATCAGGAGGAATAAAGCTATGACCTGTTACTGGAAAAATTATCTCAACTTTAGATCAATCATTTTGTGTCTCGTATAGCCATTTTGAAACCATACCAATTAAAGTGGAGTTTTTGTTTTGGCCTCCACAGCCATCGGCTACCAACCTGACAACTTTTTTTCCCTCAATATTTAAATTTTTTAGGCAGTGATAGACACATGATGCTATTTCGTTGGAGCCTTTTAGTGCCTTATCCTCAGTCCAAACATAAGAGAAGACATTTTGACGTGTTAAATTTGCCTTTGAGTTTCCCACAACAATTGTAAAATTGTATATATATATATATATATATATATATATATATATATATATATATATATATATATATATATATATATATATAGCTGCCTTGAGTAATATGTTGATTGATCTGGTACCCTGGGCATGGGTAGATTTTTTTGACAATCAAATGAAAGGATGAGTATATCTGGATCTTCATCTTTCAAAAGCTGAAAAAAGCATTTAGCTCTCATCTTATGAATTCTATATTGTGCACGTATATTTTCCCTTTCAATGCCGTTTGGACATCTTTTCAATTTTTCTATAAGCTGTAGAATATTAAAAGATGTATTAAATACTTTTCTGAAATACGACTTAGTCACTGAGAATCCGGGTAAGGATTGATCTTCATACATTTTGTACATTTTAGTAATATTAAGGCTAGGGTCTAAATAAATTCTCTGTTTTATCTTGCCCCTACAGTAATGAGAATCCAAAGGTTGGAATTTCATAATAAATTTTTGGACCGAATCCAATTTCGATCTATATGCAAACTCTTTTCGGTTACCACCTCTCCTCTCTGATGCACTAGTCCCATTTTCTGCAAATCTTTTAGTAACTCCTTTTATTCTACCTTGTTTTATATTTAACACATGACAGAAAGCTGGAAGACAGACTGGAACAAGTTGCTGTGACTTGTGGTCAGGAATAAAAAAATGATTGGAATGCGATTTTGGAGTTCTGGTATTTGTTCTTGATCGTTTTCGTTCTACAGGAGTTATAATAGATGTGTACTTCAAAATGAAATTATCTTGATCAATTTTTTTATGACTGCTATAAAACTTCTTATGGAAGTAGAACATGGTATTAGATGTTAAAGATTCACATTTGTATTTGCTTTTAT